CAGAGGTACGGTGATGTGTTCAACTCTTTGATGTAGGCGGTCGGGTTTCAGTCGTAGCTTCACCTGAGAAGGTGGCAGTGGATCCCGATTCATTCCCTCAAATAATGGTGGGGCATGTGATCGCTTGTGTGGCCAATGCGACGAGGTTTGCAAACGAGCACCGCTGGTGGCTTATGAGGCTATGGAGTGCCATGGAGGCCGCTTCCGGAAAGGAGCCGATTCCTCTTAGCGGCATTGAAGTTTCTGTCTCTACCTGGAGTCTCAAAGTACCTCAGAGAATGGGTACAAGTACTGTACCGTACCTGTTTGTATAGGGTCATGTCCGTACATTAGAGCGTCCAGGTACAGTTTGAGGTACCTTACCAAAAAGTCATATGGAGCCGAAAGGAACTAATATCCTATCCTGTTTAACTCCAAGTACCTTCTAAGGAGGTGTTTGGGGTGGGTTTAGAGGGTCCAAATAGCTTCTGAGGAGGCACTTGGAGGCATAGGGATCCTGTTTAACTCTATAAGTAGCATATACTAATCTGCACCTCCGGTGCGGAGTTCGGTTTGAACACGAGCCATGTAACCATGCTGGTCAGGCAATGGCTACGTGGAGGAGCATCCCATGGCACGTCTCTACCGGCAGGCACCATTGAATGCCATTTGGGAAGGCGAGGTCTCAGGGTCCTCCGCCTCGATGAGACGACGAGACGGTCCATCTGTCTCGTTCCAGACAGATGGACCCTCCTCCAAGCCCCTCGACCCGGTGATGACTGCAGAAGTCAATTTAGAAGTAGACAATTTGTTAAAACAAAACACATTGATCTGCAAGACTAGACCAGCAATGACCAGCAGTCAGAAGACGGGGTGCCGGTTCCGAACGGAAGGAGTACAGGTACTCCCTCTCAGCTACTCCACAGCCCCTGGGATGGGACGAAAAACACCACCCAAGGGCCCTCCATGTGACTGCTGGGAGTTCTGTGACTCCTGGGAGTTATGCATGAGGGTTCATGTACATCTCCCGGTTCATCTTCCAGCATTCCTCGGAGGGTTTTGATTTGGAGAGGTGAGGGTTTGATCTTGCTCCAAGAGTCCTTTGCTTGGTTTCTTGGAGGGTCGCTGTCAGAAGAACTCCTGTTCAGAAGGACTTTCACTGGGTTCGTCACATGGGACATGGCATCACCAAAAGCAAATTCGTTGAGCCAGGAGCCACATGTCGGGGTGGTGTGGCTCGTCCCATCCAGTGAGTGGATGTGACGGGGGCACCCCAACTTCCTCCAAGTCCGGAACCGGCACCCAACTCCAGATGGAACTGCTGGCAGATGTATTTTGGTTTCCTGCCGTGCGTGAAAAAACCATGCCACAGGCTCTGGGAATGTGATTTGCTTGGACATTCTCCGGGCACTTCAGAAGGAGCCTGCCACGGCTGACGCCTTGCTGGATGAGCTGCGGCGTGCCAAAGAGTTCGCCCTGGAGCTTGACAAGGAGATTCCCAACTCGTACAACAAGACCCTGGAGGAGGTCAGGGTGCGAAAAAATGAGTTCAGTAAGCACCTGAGTAGAGAAGGTTCATGAAATTAAAAGAAGTAGACTGCTGACTGTGACTACTCTCTCTCTCTCCCTTTTTCCTCTCTCTCTCTGTCTCTCGTTTTATCATGTTTTATCCCTGTCCAACTACTGTAGGTGGAAGAACAGTTGGACTCTGGTGATGCAGAGTTGGAACTTGGCGCTCGTGAGTTTGCCGAGAAGTTGGCCGTGTGCTTTCAAGCCTCCAGCCTCCTGCAGTTCGGTGACTGAGCTCCAAGAATGCCCAACAACGTTCCGTTGCGAGGGGGGAACTTGGACGCCTAAATGTCGACCCACCAAACTCACAAACCGCTCGACTTCGATAAGCCCTACAAGCATCGCAAGCATGGAACGCCCCCGAGAGATGTTCAAACTGCTGTCATTTGGGAGTGAAGACAGTGTCGTTTTTGCTGGAGAAGTATCCCACCTTCTGGTGAGAAACCAGAGCTGAGTGGAGGGGGGGTTGTGTCATGAGACTACTCAAAGGACCCATGTGGCAAGGATTGACGTACAATAAAAATAAAGGTTGAATTGTGTGGATTTCGTTGTTTCTTCCCCACCCTCCAGAATACTGTTCCTTCTCCTGCAGCCTTGGGTCGTATTTAAAAACTACTTGAAGCAGATTCTGAACACGTTTTCAGGCAGGGACGGCCACGCAGCTCAGGTGATCCGTTGGTGGCTCGGGGGTTTCTGGCCACACGCTTGCCCAAAGCTCCGACCTTGTCCACGCATTGCTTGGGGAGCTCCACGAGCAGGCGGGTGAATGCATGAAGAACGATCCACCCTCCTTTCGGGTGATGTGTTGTCTCCATGTAGGTGCCAAAGCTGAGAAGGTACGAGTGAAGGTACGATTGGATCTGTAGGCTAGGGCCTAGGGAGAGTTGTTTATAATACCCAGACACGACTAATGGGACTGCCATAGGACTGCCGATCAGTTGGGTTGGTTTAGGGGTCAATGGGGCGGCAGTCCTATGGCAGTCCCATTAGTCGTGTCTGGGTAATAGGAGTTCCATGAAGTTGGGCGGTGTTCCTCGATGTGATGTGGAATGCCCGACCCCTTCACCACCTCCTCCAGAAGTGATCCTCGGCACTCGTCCGAACGGATTTGGATCTGACAGGGTTTGACGGGTTCTCGGGTGATGTTAATCTTCCCTTTCATGGGGTGACTCCCCTGACCCCTATAGGGATCCAAGTACCTTCTCACAAGGTCTCCAATCACCTTCTGAGAAGGTACTTGGATCCCTAGGGGGCATGAATCTTGCCGTGGAGCTGTTTTTGGAACGACTTACATGGGAGTGACCCTTGCTGCCCTTGCTGCCCGAGTTCAGATGTTTCGTTCGTGACTAGGCAGACGTGCTGCCCTGGACCGACGGGGGAAATGGGACACTCTTTGATCACCAAGAGAGCTGAGCACCGACGGGTCCACTTCGCCCATGGAAGAGGGGCTCATTTCATGGAGCGTCTTCCCACACCATGGAGTGTTGGAGTACATGTGGCGCGTGTGTATGTTCAAACCCGGGAGACACGGAGACACCGCCCGACATCTGGCCGAAACAGGCTTGGTGGACGTGTGCAGAAGGTAGTTAGACTCTCCAAACCCGCACCAACCACCTTCCCAGAAGGTAGTTTGGAGCCCTATTTTTCATAAACACCCATGTGGACTGTTTCATACAGACTGCCCTGAAGAATTTGCTGGATGTGTTTTCTTCACATCCCCAGGCTTTGCTGTGTTGTTTAGAACCAACCATCAACATGACCCCACCCAGGTCCAGTCTGACCTGTCGGTCAAGTCTGCTGGTCCTGAATACCTCAGTATATATGTGCTTTTGCATGATGAACTCAAAAAATGATGTCTTTGGCCTGTAGGGTTAGTGCACTGGTGACCCCGGCCGTGCGAATTTGATGCAGCCACTCTACTGTTCGGCCAGTTTCGGATGGTGTTCATGGTCAAAGAACTTACTGCATTGGTCATCCACCTCCAAAGTATGTCTGCCATACTCATGGGATATAGGCTATAGATGGCTATAGGTATTTACAGTATATAAATAGATTCAAAAAGCGCATTGACAATTTTACCTTAGGCCTGGCGGGGGGTTATTGCTTTGTTTTCTTGCACCGTGTTTTCAGTGCCGGACTTCACCTCAACAACCTCCACAGCTTTTCTTCTTCTCAACACAGCTTTTCTGCCAGGCTGCCAGAGAGCATCACCGATCACCTGCTGCAGCGCCTTCACATGGAGCTCCACATCCCATCCCGCCTTTGAACCGGACCTCGACACGACCGGTGGGACCGACGGATCTATCGCGTTCTCAAAGAGACGGAGTGATCCATACCCGGATGGGCGGTTCATACCCTTTTAAACGAACATGAGATGTTGATGCAAACACAGGGTACGACTGTACTCATTCTCCGGGTAACAGGTGGACGTATCTTTTGGTGGTGCAGGAAAGACTCTTGGGGTGCATTCAGCACGACTGTCAGAAATCATGGGATGTTCATGGAAATGTTGCACGCTTATGCACATAATTATAGTACCAAGACATACCAATACCATCCAAAACCTATAAAAATGTAGTGTCTAAAAAGCAACAACAACTCAGTTTTTGCAACTAAAACCGGGTTTCTCAAAAACCATTCACAAAAGACATGTTTTTTACGGGTAAAGTATCGGTTTCGCATTGGATAAATACGGGTTCTGAATTGAACATGAGAAACCATGCTTTTCAGTGAAAAGCTGGTTTTTTGTCGTCTTGTATGCCAAAACATTGGTTTTCGGAAAAGGTCGTTGTTTTTTTTTCCTAAGGTTTGGTTGCTCCTGGTATATATAGGCAGGCCCCAACAGGTCTCAATTGGTGACCTGTTGGAGGGTGCTGATAGGTGTAAATCGTCCAGTCCCATCAGTCCTGTCTGGCGGATTGCTTTGGAATCTTGGGCCAGAAGCGCCCGTGGTGGACCGCGGTGTCCCACCGACATCGAAGAAAGCGCGAGACGAAGCTCGAGTCGCGCGAGCGAGCGAAGAGAAGAGGTGGGAGTTGACGAGTGGAATCATGGCAGTTAAACTGAGGGAGAGTGAACAGTTCGTACCAACCACGACCTTCCTGCCGTGACCACACTTCAGGATTGATCAGTGATCACAGACCTATAGTGACCTCAGCCACGTGATCTCAGCCACGGACGGTCACTGGGAAGGCATTCCATCATCTCATATTCCATTGGGTGCTGAATCATGTTCTGAAATCCAATGCATTTACAAGTCCATTCTCAGACACCAACTGGCATATTGGGTTCCCTATGCCCCCCATTCACTGCACTCAGAAGGGTCTGGCTCCGGTGCTGCTCAAGATTTGGTGCTTTGGATTTCCAAACAAAGGCCGCAAAGATGCACCGCAAATGGAAAAGGGAAAAGTCAGTGACGGTCGCACATGTGACGTTTTCTTTTCGGCTCTCAGGTCTCCTGGAGCTCAGGCTGGGAGATTTTGACGTCGTCGACTGAGGGATCGAATTCACTCTGCTTCCGAGTTGGTGCCCTCCTCAACAGGTATAGCTGGTGACTTGAAAATACCTATGGAGGAGCCTAAAGTCGACCACGTACCTCAGAAAACGAGTCGTGTCGTACCAATGTCGTCCCATTTTTTTGTTCGGCGGCGAGCGATCGCTGATGTATTTAGATCGGGTGATGGCGACAGGAGACCGAGCGGTTGACCTATACCTGGGAGGTCGTCGTTTGCTATCTCTACCTTTTCTCCACCTTCCTCCTCTGCCCGTATTTTGCAAGAACGCCGGGAGAACACCGGTCACCAGGTCGTTGGCCACTACGGTTGAGATCGCCTAAGTAGGTAGAGCCTGAAGGCCATGGAAACAATTATTTTTACACCAAGTGGCTGCCAAAAAATGCGATTGAAAATGCGTTGGTTGAAAAAATGTGATTGCTAGAGTAAGAAAATGCGATCGAAAATGCGATGTTCTGAAAAATGCGATTGCTAGATGTTAAAAATGCGATTGAAAATGCAATGTTGAAAAAAATGCGATTGCTAATGTCAAAAATTGTGATCCAAAAATGCAATGCAATTAAAATGCGATTGCTTGCTGCAAAAATTACGACTGAAATGCACCGCCGACAAAAGGCGCCTGGGCTCTTTACAAGTGTGCAGCTCAAACGCATTTCTTTTGGCGATTGCGCAGTCCAAACGCATTTTTTTTTGCGATTGTACAGCCCAAACGCATTTTTTTTGCGATTGCGCGGCCCAAACGCATTTTTTTTGCGATTGGGCAGCCCAAACGCATTTTTTTTGAATAAAAATGCGATTGACAATCCCAATCGCACTTTTTCGCACAAAAAATGCGCCGCGCCCGGACAAACGCATTTTTTCGTAAAAAGAATGCGCCGCGCGCAGACAAGTGCATTTTTCAATCGCATTTTTGCAACCTCCGCAGCAAGACCTTTTCGCAACGCATTTTCAAAACGCATTTTAAATGCGATTTGAGGCGACAAACGCATTTTAAATGCGACTTGTCAATCAAATCGTATTTTTTGCGCCATGGAAGAGTGGTAAATTTGCGTACGCGTGCAAACGCATTTTTTTCGCCAGCCATATGTCCAAGGTCGCCGGAAACGTATTTTTCCGGGGCAGAGTTGGGGACGAGCCCGGAAGCGAGCTGAGAACGACGTTTGCTTTTGTCCTGTCCTTCGGTGCTTGTCGTCCAGCTAGCAAGCTGGCAGTCTGGGTTGGTCGGAGTGTTTACGTCTATTTTTGGTTTGCAGGACAGCGCTGGGGACATAGGCTGTCCGAAGCAGCCAGACAAACAAATGTGACCCAAAATCCTTTGCAAAAACATCATTGCTCGCTGCAGTCAAAGTACGCTTCAAGATTCAATACCAAAAACGAGCGTTGGGGCTGCTGCCCCACCTGATGTCTATAGAGAACACTTGAAAAGCCTTGGCCTTTGATTGTGCTTAGTGGCGCGCCCACAAGGCGAACAATTAGGAAGTTGTGATACTTGCAAGCTTTCTATTTTTGCAAAGTGTTCCAGGGCTGCGTTCCCACGTGGGGACTGGCTCCCAAGGTGCATTTTGGATCCTATTTCTTGAGCCATGGGAAGTGAACAAATAATTCCCAACAGAGCTACAGAGCCTACCTAGGTTAGGCAATCTCAACACTACGGGCGTCCTTGAGGTCCAGGTTTTTGCTTCAGAGGGCCCGGCCCCTCGCCACCACGAGGCTTTACTTGCCAACTCTTATTTTTTTTGCGGAAAACCATCATGTTGTAGCTCACATTCCACAGCGTCGGTCTCCTTGCGTAGTGAAATAATTCAAAAAACAACCCTCATATCATATCAATACTTTCTCCTTTGCTCAGCTGATGTCCAGGGTGGGTCTTAGCCCGCTAGCTACAAAAAGAATCGATGTAGTACAAAGCAAAAGCATGCAACAGCAACATAAAGAGGCCAACTTCAAGACATAAAAACAAAGGCAAACCAGCACCACGGATTCCGGGGTCCATTGATAGCCCCGAAAAGAGGTCATGGGGTGTCCATTCACCACCCCTCTGGGGTCCTGGAAAGCAACACATGAGTTTTGATCTCGTGATCGACCAGAGGCAGTGCCAGAGTGGATCGACCATGCCCGACAAGAGACGCATGTCCAACAAGAGACGCGAGACGCGGCTCTACGCGAGGGACGCGAAGGGTGGGCGAGGAAGACCGTTGGGTGTGGTGCGGTGCTTGGGGCGGATCCGACAACCACTGACAAGATCGAGGGATCGGAAGTGATCTCTTGATGTTTTTGGCCGGTCAGCGGGTGAATCCCCTGGCATACGGGGGGATACTTATGACCGGTATGTGGTGTTCACGAAGAAGGTAAGTGGATATTTATGATCTTAGTCCCGGCTTCGTGGACAGCAAAGAATAGAAACCCAGCGTCCTCCCAGGAGGTCAGATGGTGATTGGATGGTAAACACATTGGCAAGAGTGGGGGTCTATTAAGGTGCCAAACATCCAAACTGGGTGGTGTTGCCTTTGTATGTTGTGCGTGTGACTGTTTGAGTTAATTGTTTTATTTCTTGGCTTTGTAGGAGAACATGGATGTCTGACATCGAGTGGCCCAAGAACTGATTCTTGGAATCCAAGCTGGTACGATATCCCAAGAAGCAATGATGAAGCTTGGAATCTTGTTCAGAATATCCAACCTCCTCCATGTTCTTCAAACCCAGACACCATCCATGAAACTGCCCATATTCGCTAAGAAAAGGCCAGGGGTGCTTTGGCATACATTCCCGTCCCATCAGTCATTCGTGCTTGGGACAAGACAGCAATATGTTTTAAAAAATACAACATAAACATGCTGAACCAGTCTAGCCAGTGTGGTCAACGCACCAGTTTAATCCGTCCTTTGGACTTGCTGTTTGCTCCTGACGATATTCCAAGAGACCGGTACCTCCCTCCGATCCCCCGTCCTCCCCGGTACCTCAGGTGTCGGGAGAGCAACCGCGTGTGGCAGATCCCCGCCACGGAGCGATGCGACGAACAGATCCGTGCCCGTCCAGTCGTCCAGTGTAACCCAGGTGCAAACCTGGTCGACTTGACCTCCCATAAGACATGACAAATAAGTAGTGTTTGGGGTCTATAGGTCAGTAAGTCTCAGTAAGTATTAGTTTTGTATGACCATCTCCAGTAAAATGAGGTCAGTTCCTGACTTGTAGGGGTGGTTTTCCGCAGCATGGAACGATGACGCGAGATCTGATGTCTAGTAACAAAAATACGGCTTATATAGTTGGTGCTTCTTCACAGTTGCTTCGTTTTTCTCCGGAAATCCACCGGTGTTCCAGAAAAAATGGTATAGTTTCAATGACCCCTTGTTCAAGCCTTCCAGGGGTGCAAGTGACGCAGATGGACAGCTTTGGGACATGATTCACATGTTCCGGCAGATGTTTCTGGTAAGGACGAACGCTGAGCCGGCAGGATAGGGTTTGCTTGAGCACTTACAATTACCTAGCCAGGAAGAAGTGGATCACCTTGAACCTGTTTCTTGGGTGCCCCGAGGCGACCCGTTCGGCCCCGAACCAACTGCTACATGTTGCTTCGGTCCATTTCACCCTGGCTGGTTTCGGGTCATGTCACCCTGGCGAACGGGTTGGGTCGAACCCCTGGAGCCGAAGGTGATTGGTTTCTCCACTCAAGTCCAACCGGTGGAATATCCCGTTTGGCCTCCGTTTTAGTACCGAATTTGAGAAGGTGGGACGACCGGGGCCCGGTTGCCAGGAGGGTCCAGTCATACCTTGTGAGGAGGTACGACTGGAGGTGTAGGGTATATCTTTATGTTCCAAAGAAAGGCGACCCAATGATGTGATTCTCTTCACCGGATTGGATGAACATCGGCTCCATTCCCCCCAAGCGGAACCGAGCTTCAGCTTGTAGTCTCGCGTGTTTGCATCATCGCCAGGACAGCGTCATCGCCCACGTTTGCTGGGATGTCAGCTACATGGAGAACACTTGGCGGAACACAGGCGGAACGGAGGTGGAGGAGAGGGACTGGACTTGGCATTGTTGGATGAACAGGTGCAGTACAGGTACCGGTGGTACTATAACAGTACTATAACACAGCGTTTGATCATTGATCTTCAGCATGCTGCATTCCGCACTGTATAAAGACCACTCTTGAATTATATTTAAATTTATAGAAGAACATGGACAGTCAAGAAGCAGACGACACCAGGAGAAAGAAGGCGCAGCACCATTTCACCACCAATCATAGTTTCAGAGAAAACCACATCTTTCATCAGGTCAAAGAGTCAAGAGTCAAGGACTTCATGGAAACTGGGTCTGACCAGACAGTCCCACACCCTACTCAAGTCCCAAACAGTCCCACTGCCCTCAAACCCCTTCGTCAGTGTTCCGGTCGTCCGGATTCAGTGGCACCGAACCTGAGAGAGATGGATTCGTGACTGCCGAAAAATATCGTCTGTTCCATGGAGGTTGGGGTGCTATCCATGGAGGTTAAAGGCAACTGACAAAATCCTACCCCAAAAGAGAACAAACATTCGAAATCCATGGTCCATAGGGGGACTAAGGCATGACATGGTCGTTATCTGTTGTTCTAGGGGTTTTGCCTGTCACATCCACTCACTGGATGGGACTACAAAGACAACCCCTTTGTGACCCACAGCCACTTAGGGACTAAACACCACTCCCTTGTAACGGGTTTTCTTCGGATCAGGGTCTGGTCGAAGCCTTTTCTTAGGACACTGGAGAACTCCACTTCCATCTCAATGACTTGGCAAGTCCTATTTCTTTCGTCGCCAGGTCGAGTGTATCACGTTGGGAGCCAGAGACGCGGAGGGTGGAGACGCCACAGGGTGAAGATGTGAACGAGAAGATGCACTGGGGATGGCCCATCCACTGGTGGTTTTGTTGGGCATGAAGTCCACTGTTACATGCTTTTGTTTTATTGTTTTTCTTGTTTTTCTGAATTTAGTATTGTGTTTTGATGGGGCTGGGTGTGTGTTTTTAATGGAGAAGGTCAGAAGGTTCTTGTTTGCAATGCTGTTTATGGGTTGCTATGTCATGTTATATGGGACTGGGAAGGGTAGTAATTTGTTTCCAATATGGCTAGTACAAGCATAAGTATAAGTAAATAATATATACATTGTGAACCTATAGAACCAACCCATTTGACAGCGTTTTTGGTAGGAAAAGACAATATTTTTGGATAGTTGATCCTCCAAAATGGAGGTCAAGACCATACGTATCTAGGAATATATGGGGCCATCAGGTCGGTTGTGGAATCGGTTGTGGAATCGGTTGGAAGAGAAACCCGTTGAAGTCATCAAGCTTGCAGGCTCCAATGACGTCAAATGACCATCAATTTCCTGGTTTTGCGAATCAGGGTGATTTCATGGTTTCCCCTTATGGTGCAATCCCCTTCTGGTGAATGAATTATGTGTTTCCAGATTCCTGAAGCAAATGAAATCCAAGATTCTGTTTGTTGGCCCGGCCACCTTTTGAAGACGACATTTGGCCGCATGCGTGGGACATGAGCAGTGTACACCACTCCCCTGTCGATTGCCCGATCCGCGTGGTCTGCTGGAAGTGTCACCGCGTGGTCTTGATCGAGGCCGCATCTCAACGTGCACAAGCGCGTGGGGTCGTGGTGCCAAATGTGGCCAAGCACATTGAGGCACAGAGCAGAGGGTGGCATATCATCCGGCTATGTGAGTTAGGTTGATTTGGGTTCGTCCGCCTCGTTCGCTAAGCATGGGCCGCCTCCGCTCCAGTGAAGTCACAGGAACGAAGGAAGTCAAGTCCTACATGTTGCAGAGGCTCCAGTGCTTTGGGGAGTCAACGTAAGCGAAACCAACTATGCAACATGTCTACCTTTTGGCTGGTTGAAATAGATGAACAGATATGAAAAGGCTAAACTGTTGCACAGTTGAAAGACCCAGGTCTCATGGAGTGTCTAGGCCGCTTTATCGTGGCGAGCAGGCGCAAGCGAATGTTTGGGGCCAGAAAAGGGTGGTGTGTTGTGCCTGAAAAGAAAAACGAGCCCAGACCCGCCCAGACCCATGCTCGGACATTTTTTTGTACCACATTATACGAAAAATAATTGGATTTCTCTGCTGTTTGGCCTGTTTGGCCTCTGATTCGCTGGGCACGCGCCCGCCTGCGCCCTCGCCAGAAAGCCGCCCCGCTGCGGTGGCAGGAGCTCTTGGCACCGCTGCGGCAGCACCTGCGCCGCGACAGTCACCCCGAGCGTTTGGCCTTGCTGGAGCTCTTGAGCGCCCTCGAAGTGGAGTGCGGCGAGGAGAAGCCGACGACGTGTGGAGCGTGGCATTGACATCATGGAACCCGACTTTTCAACCACCGCCAAGGTGTAAAATGGTCATGTCATACATATCAGGGATTGTCTGGATTTTTGTTGTTGAATTCTAGCAAGTCTTCCTCATTACACATTCCAGTGTTGATGAAAAAGAGTCGTGCAAATGAGTGAAACGGTTGCCTTCAGATTTCGCATTGAGGCAGTACACCGGAACATGGGGGAACAGGCGCCGTACCTGCTTTTTCTTGAGTCATGTCCCATGGTTCTTTGGGTCCGTCGGGTCCAAGGTCATTGACCATCCGAGGAGAGTCGTGGGGGTGACAAGCTCTCCCAGACCAGACGATAGGGACTGGAATAGTTATATATACCCTAGAAGTCCAAAGACTATATTTACCAGGCTACCGCCTGCAGCCGCCGACCCCCAAGGGATAGAACCTTAGCGCTAGCCTTGCTCTATGTTAGCCTTAGCCTTAAGCCTTAGCCTTAGCCTTAAGAGTGCAGACCCAACCCAGCACGACCAAAGCAGGTACCCAAAAAGTCGACTTTTTTGGTACCTCCCAGATTTACCATCGGACGTCAGCTCTTGCATGAACCCCGATCATTGCCCAAGAATTTAGACCCAACCCTTCACCACCAAAGCAGGTACCCAAAAAGTCGACTTTTTGGGTACCTCCCAGGTTTACCTATTTAGACCCAACCCAGCACCACCAAAGCAGGTACCCAAAAAGACAAAGCCTAGAGCATTCCTAGGAAAATGCCAGAAAAGCCTTTGAAAATCTCATAAACCAACAGAAAACGTGACAAAATCTACGAAAAAGCAAGGGCATTGGCCGGGACCATGCCGCGACCAGCCCGGGATTCGAGCCCAGGACCATTTTGGACCGTGCTTATTTTCCCGCGCGGGTCGAGAGGGTGCCCCAAGATGTAAATCAATTGGGATGGCAGAATCTTGGACAATTCCCGGGTCGCTCAGGTAGCTTTCAGGGCACGATTTCGTAACTGCAACAAGGGTCCGGAGGGGTAGGGGAGGTAAGGTCTAGGTCTAGGTCTAAGGCTAAGGACTAGGTCTAAGGCTAAGGACTAAGGCTAAGGCTAAGGCTAAGGCCTAAGGCTAACATCGACAGTCACGCCTCACCCCACGGTGTGGGGTCGGCGGATTTTGACCGGCTGAAGTAAAGGAAGTTCCCTTTCAGGTCCCTTAAAGACCATTCTTTTTATAGTCTTTGACTCCCAGGGTATATACATTTACCCCATGACAATGACCCTAAGGTATACGCAAACGATTCCAGTCCCATGGATGGTCTGGGTATTGTGCAATCAGACTTTGCAGCCTGAAGAGAACCAATGACTCGACCCATTCATATATAGACAATGTCTCGCATTCGAGGAAGATGGCTCCAAGGATCCTGTTTTTGATGTCTATTTGCTGCTGAACAGCACTTACACCAACTGACATGTTTCAGGGTAGATGACTCCACTAGACGGTTGGCACAATGTTTGCTCGTGATGATTATTTGTGGACCTCCAAACCAAATATTCTGAGACCCATCTACGACAGACCTGTCCATTGCAGGGGTCATGGCCCTTAGAATAGTAGAACATACTTATAATGCATTCATTTGTGTAGGCCTGGCGCTGTGTGTGATATTGAAAAAATCATCACAGGCAGCTTAGCAAATGCATGTGGCCCCCCACCCTCACGGGCTAGGTGCACCATGTAGCTTCACCCCCCAAAATCATATGCTTCAAGACTTCCGAACCGCTGCACCTTTCAGAATGAACGCACCTGGACACATGAGATTGAGCCTCCAGCATGCGTGCATCTCGGTCCCTTGCTCAGCCATGCGTCAGGAGCAAGAGGTCAGCTTGCACGGTCGCTTGCAACGTTGTGAGGCGGACGGCATGACAACAAAGAACCGGGCGAGGAATGGCGAAGGCATCAACGAGGAATTTACCTGTACTCTCCCCAGACACTCCATGTATACTTGTATGGTATATATGCATACATTGACCCCCCAAAACCACCCCAACTGATCGGCATATATGGCAGTCCCATGGGTCGTGTCTGGGCTCTAAGGTACCTGCGAAAATGGGACATGACCGACATGACCCGATGAAATGGTGGCTCATTTTCCGCAGTACCAATGGGTCGACTATACCTGGAGTATGGTGGGAACAAACATCGAAACGGCTTCCCTTTTCCGTTTGGAGGCTTCCCCACAAGTCGGACCCTGAGAATGGAGAACCACTGAACACTTGCACCCGCATCCAATGTTGCACAAGAAACCCACAGAAACCCCGGAAGAAACGTGGATCATTTTGCCATAGTTGGCCCTTTTTCTGGGGGGGGGAGGGGGAACACCGGGGACACCGCACTCAAATCCCAGGTGGACTTCATGTTCCGCTCAACATACCTTTTTGTTTGTTGGATCGAACCATGGCGATTGTGGTTGGCCCTGGGAGGCACGCTTTGCATGGCTAATGATATACACGATACCAGTGCATGGCTTTTGGAAGCTGAACAGCGGGCCAAAAGCATGGATATGCACGATCAAGGGGGGCCTGCTGAATTGTTCAATATCCTAGGCAAGTGGAAGCCATAGCCTCGTTTTGCTTGAGGTGTTTCTTATTTTCACTGTGGTTACTGTAAATCTCTTTCTGGGGAACATGTTTTATTTTTTTCCAGGTTCCGAACCAGCAAATCCAAGATAAGTGCTGGGAGGTTTTTCCTGGTTCACCTGATTTCCTGTGCTTTGGCTCCTTCAGTGCTTGAACATCAATTTCTTCTAAACCCCAACTTCGTCCATACCCTCCCTGGGGCTCCTGGCCTACGTCCGTTTCGAACATGGTTGGGGTGGGGGTGTCAGGGGGGTCAGTCCCCACCGAACCTGAGGAGATGGGGGAGCCTATACGGGCCGAACGAAAATCATACATGACTCACCCTAAACCGTCAACAGACTTTTGTTTGAAGTACGAACTGCGACGGGAACGGATTGATTTGTGTGTCATCGAGTTGGGAACGGAACGGGAATGCATTAATATCCACCTGTATTGTCCAAACCAGTGAGCCGAGACAACATTTTGCACACATTGTATGGAATGGAATTGGTACTGAAGATAAGGTATCGGTATTGGTTGGTTTTTCGATGAGCTTCCTTGGCGGGGGTACGCTCCCTTGAAGTGGACAAAACACCGGTTTGTGTTCGTTCACATGATCATTGATAATCGCAAGAACATTCCAGGAAGGTGTAGATGTAGATGTTGTATGTGAGGTTCTGTGAGGTTCACATGAAGGCCGAGACTCTTTGAAGTGCGATGGAAGAACAACTGATGTCCGTGGGTCACCCATGGCACTTGCCGAAGAATCCAGGGGTCACATGGAGTTGGGTGGTGTGGCTCGTCTCAGCCAGTGGCTGTGGAGGTGACAGGGGCACCCCGACTACCTCCGTTCGGAACCGGCACCCCCTCACCTCGTGACTCCTGGACTACCAGAATGCATTTTTTCCAGTGGCAGGCAGGATGTTTTCTATTCAACCACTCATCCGGAGTGTTTCTTGCGGGTCGTTCACCTACCCCAACATGTACGTGGCGCTCACCGAGAATCACTCGGCCGTCCCCGGGCGAAAGAACGTCATAGAGCCGAAGCTCGTGTCCAGGGACACGTGCGCATCTACGTGTCACAGCCTGAAGCTGAGTTGCGTAAGAAGGAACAGCACATGACGCTCTTGTGCCAGCCAAGCTGAGTGATTTGGGAGATTGGACACGTATACTAGGAGAAAATCGTAGGAAAGTAGTGCGTTGAAGAGATAAAATTCAGCGCTCTCAAAATAGCAGGGTTGCCGCATTGACTGATTTATGTTTGGTAATGTTGTAATCTTGATTGGTTCCTGCAAATCTGTATACAACAGAAGTGAACCAGCCAGTTCTCCTTCATGTAACCTAGATTATTGATCTCGGTGCCCTTTTGATGCCACACACTGCAAGTCCCTTCTACACAGCGACCATGGAGTGTTTGGGAGATTGGACCTGAAGGAGGTCTAGGTCGTGCTTTGTCAGATTCCATGATCAGACTTATTCATTAGGTGGCTTCTCTTCAACATGTACATGAGATGATTGATCCCAGTGAAGATATAACACGTAGTTCAAGTGAGTTGAAACCACCAACCAGCTCAGAGCTGCGCACCGAGGTATCCATGCGTGTCAGGGGACCCTAGATGGATCGAAAGAAGCAATCGGAACGAGCAGTGCCGGGAACGCGGGATCATCCCAAAACCGCTCGAACATACCCGTTTTGGGGGGGTCTCACTACCTTCTGAGGATATGGTTGGAGCCCAAAACCACTTGAAAATCGGACAATGACTGTGACTGTGCTATGTCCTTGGTCCTTGTCCTTGTATTCATTTTCCGCAAAACGAGTGGGTCGACTATGGGTCAGTATGGTGATACAAGGCCAAGGCTGACTCGTGTTGCTTGGAGAGTTTCCACCTCGTTGGACTCTGAGAATGGAGAAATACTGAATGCATGCAGCATCCACAAGCATCCAATGTTGCACAAGACACCCAGGCAGAACGTGGATCATTTGGCCCAAGCTTTTGCTTGGAGATTGGGAAAGCAACCAAGAAAAGGCGCCCAGCGAGCCAAGCCAAACAACGACCATGATCCCCACCAGGCCACTCCCCCGGGTGGACTTCGTTCCGAACTCCGCCTCCGGAGGTCCAGGGAGGATCTCCAACGAGCACCGGCGCTTTCGGAGCCCCCACCAGCCCAAACAGATGGGCCTTTTCTTTCTGCGAACTTCGCGGACTACGCGTCAATGCATGAAACGGGGGAATGAAGGGGGGCTTCAAAAGGCCATGCATGAAACACAAGGGCCCCGCCTGGTGTACCACGAATTGAACGGTACCTGGGTGGGTCATGGCATCCGGTACCTCACCAGGGTAGGTTGACCTTCCAGATCGTCTATTCTATTCATTCTTGGGGAACAAAAGACCAGGGTGCCCGGGTGCCATGAGCCCACAGCCACCCACCTGGCATCACCTTTCCCAGACAGGACACTGCATGGGACTGCCATAATATATGCTTACATTGATTCCCAAAACCACCCCAACTGATCGACATATGGCAGTCCCATGGAGTGTTTGGGTCTATTTGGCTCAGGACATCGATGGTTCCATAGATCAGCATAGATCCTGCTATCGGTACATGTCTTTCGACACCGGATCTGAATTCTAGGTGGTTGCCAGGGTCGGGTCCAGTGGTACCTTCAGCTGAGAAGGTAGTAGGAACTGGATCTCTGGAGGGTTTGAAGGGCCTGATTTTCACCTTTCTCATGTCTGCTTTGAGGTCCTGCCTCGCGGTCTTTTGCCAGTTCCGACGATGGTGCTCGGCAGCTCAGGGAACTTGTGGTGTGTGATGCCATGTGGGTGAATCTACTTCCCATGTGCCATGGTAGCCCATGTTATCTGTTTCCATACTGAACACATATATTGAGATGCAACGCAGAAACCCATTTTCTAGCGTTTGAAGTATATACCTAGATCCACCTGGTGGACGAAAAAAGTGCCGCTTTCCATTGTGGCCAAAAATTTTGCCACCAGAGTGGAAAATTGCCGTCATCCAAAAAAAGCGCCACCAGAAAAACAAAACGCCACATTCCATATATGGGGAAGGATGGTGCATGTCTCCTCCACGTCAGGCTCAAGGATATACTCAGTTAGATTCCCCAAGTAACACGAGGTAGAGACCAGACCCTCACACTCACCTCCACGATAACGTCATCGCAATCCCAAATCCCTGACCGCTCTACGATTCCCATTGCCAAATTTACCAACTATACCCAACTTCTGGTACTCAGGGTCATTCTTCAAGGTCATTGTGCAAGCTTTGACAATTGACCACCCCTAACAAGAGTCTTTGTGCTCATGTGTATGCTACACCCTGATAAGCCAAGCAATCTCAGTGGTCCATGGGTGACAAATGTTGCCAACATGATTACGAGAATTTACGCCGCCATTACGCGGATTTACGCCGCCATTACGTGGATTTACGCCGCCAATACGCGGATTTTCGCTGCCATTTTTTCCGTCAAATTTCACAAATTTCTCGCAACACGTATGAAACTCAAAAACATAATTTCAATTTTTGTGTTGAATGCTTATCACTCTCTTTCAGGGAGCTCTGAAGCACGAAAACCAATTATGAAACATTGGTTGGTACTCTTCCGGAACGACCAGCCGTTTCGAAGCTAAAACATAGTTCAAGCACTGCACCAATTCCGCATTTTCCCAAAGGTATACCGGTCGGTATGTTGACAAGAAGTTCACACATTGGGGTGCGTTCATCAACCTTCGGGGCTTGACACAACTATACCCAACTATACCTAACGAAGGGCACAAATCACCCAACTAAACAACTTCGAGCCAATCACGAAAAACGCCGCCGCAAAATCAAGAAACGCCGCAGCTTTACAATTTACGCCGCCGTACGGTAAAAGGCAACTTTTTTGGAAAAGTGCCTCATACGAAGATCTAGGTATAATTAGAGTTCAATATCAAGACCACCAAAAAACAAGGAAACCGAGACAGCAAACAGATGCAAGATGACCCTTTCAATGTTCAATTTTCCGAAGAATTGTATTATAATATATTTAATTACATTTTTTGGACAAGTTTACGTGCAACATTAAGTGTTATGTGTTTATGCTCTCTACCGTGGAGTCCCACGTTGTTTCGATGGGGGCCCTTTTTCGTCGCTCAGGCGGTCGCGCTTCTCGCCTGGGAAAGTCGACCGACTCTTTGCCCCGAGGTCCCCAGATCCAGATGGAAGTGGCCTTTGACAATGCCGGTGGACCTGGAGGACCCTGGTCGACCCTGGTCGACCCGACTCAGTGGATGTTGATTGGCTGCTTCTTTGGGTGATGCAGATGCAGGTGTTTTGATCGTTTTAATCTGTGGGAGCCCTCTTTAACAGTCCCAGACACTCCATGGGACTGCCATACTGCCGAGAAACGGCCAGGGGTGGTGCCAGGGGGGTCAATGGGGCGGCAGTCCTATGGCAGTCCCATGGAGTGTTTGGGAGTGGTATTGCATGATTTATGTTGCCGTTTTTTTGCCTTTTCTTCGACGCCTGAGGCGTGGACCAGCTTTTGCGGGCGACCGAGGAACCGGGTCTGAGCTCTCCGAGTCGGCGCGAAGGCTCAGCCGGAAGAAGGGGCAGCGATCGTTTCATCAGCCAAAGCAAGGATGGAAGGATGGAATGAGGTACTGGACCCGTCGATCCGTCGTTTTTGTGCAGAAGATTCAAGACTCCTAGCCAGGATAAGTGCAGTGTTAAACCTCCCCAACCTTTATTGGAGGATTGGGGGCACCCCAGTCAAATCCAAGAGCTGGTCAGGACTCGACCTCTAAGACAGAATCCCTCTATACCCCTCCATCGTAGGAGTCGGAGCCGAAAACCAAACCTTTTCCACGAGAAAGAGCACGGAACCGGTAGACAAAAGCCGAAGAAAATCGATTCCAGGGGCAGCTTGGCCCCATGAGTTTCCTGTCGGGGTGGTGCTTCGTCCCATCCAGGGGCTGCGGATGTGACAGGGGCACCTGTACTCCTTCCTCCTTTCGGAACCGGCAAATGCTGGTAAATTTGACTTCTCCGCGCGTAAGGTCAAGAACAAGCTGTCAATGGTTCGAGAACGAGGGGAACCAGGCTTGATGTGAAGGAGTATGCACTTCCTGCCAGTCGAAAGTGATGGAAAATGGATTGGATTTCCAGAGTGAATCAACCCAAATCTCCGCAAACAGTCTCGGAAAAACTGGAATCCTTACCCCTCTCAATGGCTGAGTAAGAGGTCACTATACTGGAGTCTGGAGGTCATTGGAGTCTTCCAACAAAGGCAGGGCGAAGGTGGTTTGTGGAGTCGGATGCGAACATCGGTTGGAGTCGGATTGGACATCCAACTCGATCAGGGGATTCTGAGCAATCAGCTTCGAGATATTTCTGTGGGCCACTTGAGCAATCAGATTTCTCCGCCACTTCAAGCAGATGTTTGTGGCAGATGAGCGGCCAAGCAAGTGTTGGATTCAGGAACTGGATGGAATGGTAGACATGGGAAGAATGGGTACCGAACCGAAGCGGTTCGGTAGCTCCTGGACCCGACGGTTTGGCACCCGGGTCCCGGTCGTCCCACCGAACCTCATGCAGAAGGTACTTGAAGACCTAGGGGTGACAAACAGCTGAACTCCACTTCCCACGGAAAACCCGGTGACTACCCAGACGCTCCAAACAGCCCTTGGTCCCTCAAAACCTAGGGAATTGAGACCCCAGACCCCTCCATATGAGGGTCTGACCCCTCCATAGAGGGCCCGTGAGCGTCTGGGTAGGAGTACTTGTTGGTGGCATCAGATGCTTCAAGATCCTTCAAGCGAGAACACCAAAAAGAAAGACCCAACTGCTTCGCCTTTCCAAAGGCCTCGTCCGCACCACTCTCAAACCCTACGAACTCCAGTCACTATACTACTATACCTGAAACGGTTCGGTATGACTGGAGTCTCCTAAACCATCCTGGGCCCCGGTCGTCCGAACCGAAGCTCAGCCATCACCCCTCCGAGGCGTTGCCCCGAAGCTGACGGCAGACGGGCACGGAGGTGGGTGGCGTTTGGAGCTATAGCCAAGGGGGTGCCAAGAAAGACACCAGTGGGCTCGTTTCTGGGGATTCCACGCCAAGAATTACAGCCCAGACCGGACCTAGAACTCCTAGCTCAAAGGGCGGAAACTTTATACAGCCACCGAACTCTACAGGTCTCCCTCATCTGGTGGCTGCAGACTTCAAGCTTTCGCAGGTGGTGACCTGTAGAGTCGGGTGCAGTTATATAACATGTGTTGAATTGAGCCGAAAGTCTTGAAAGGAGTATAGATGGAACGATATAGCGTTTCTATAGGTTTGACGATCCACCGGGGCAGGTTCTTGCTGACACTGTGACTGTGATCCTTAAAGATGCGTTAGAACTTGTGTGCTGGTGATTAGTAGAGTAGCGGCTTGGATCGGCATGGCCGGCAGCACTTCCAACTCCAATGCTTGTCGACAGAAAAGAGTGCAAGGACCCAGGTGGTTCATCAGCAATAGATCTACCATGATCATACTCATCCGCAGGTCATGGTAATTATTGGACGCCTGGTCTTGCCACTTCTGAGCGCTTAGTTGAACTGGGACTGGGCCAAAAGGACCCTTTCCACGCGAAATCCACCGCTTTCCGCCAGGCGATCGCGCGAAAAGATCCACCTGAACCCAGCATGGCCGTCGCGGTGACGCCCGTGGCGCGGTCGTGACGGTGCGGCCTGGGCCGTTGCGGATCAAGAGCGAAGTCTTGGAAGATCTGAAATGGGACTGGAAGATGTGCTTCTCATTGCTTCTCAGTCCTTGGAATCTCGTGTCACCCTCGTCTTGACGAATTTGGGCGGCTTCGCCGGCTTCGGCATGGCTAGACCAGTCCTGAGTTGGCGGGGGCATCTCGAGCTTCGATCGCTCTCGCAGGTTGGGACCGAAAAAAAGCCGCGTGGCGCGTGAGTCCGTGCGTCATCGTCAGTGCGTCAGTCAGCTAAGTGAGTTCCCCTGAACCCCCAGTTCCCAGCCACTGGTGATGGAGGTTTCTGGGGTCAAAGCTCATTATGCATGTCAATTTGCTATGGTTTTGAGGACTTCAAGAGTTCTTTGACAACTGGCACCGGTCCCAAGCCGCTAACATGGAACGTCCAAAAGCTGGGTTCACACGGGAATGGACCAGAGTCCAAATGGTTGGGAATCCCTGGAACCGAAGAAATCGTGCTTCTTACTCTTCACGGAAGGTAGCTTGAGCTACACTGAGAGGTACCAGTGGAGTACCAGTAGCATTCTTGGAATCTTTGCACATCTCTGGGAGGCAGAGTTTTCCTTGTGTCAGTTTGTTTGAACGTACTCCGCGAGTAAACAAAAAAACAAGTCGAAGAGAAGGGATGGTGCTCTTCAAGCAGACCTATACTGAACTACTCCTATGATTTGACCAAAGAAAGCACACCAATTCAGGGTCAAACCTTTCAAAGCAGACCTGCTGCAATGAGCTCTTTTTGCTTTCCACCATGCTGTTAAATATTGTCCACCCTCGTTTTGAGGCTGTTTCTCCTCAAAAAGAGAACCAACACACCGAGAAACAATGGATAAGGACGTCGGACGTCAAAAATAGGAGAGGACAGGCGCTAGAGATCTCTAAACTGGAGGATTTTGCAGACTAGCGTGAAAAAGACATATCACTGGCATGAGACGTGCAGAAGACGAGTCAGGAGACACTTCTTATTTAGCAGTAGGTTATAGTAGCTTTCTACTTAAACATGCAAAAAGCGTTCAAGAACGTGCAGGTTTTGTTCTTCACAGAAATTGCAGAATGCGCTCAGATGAATAGTCATGTCGCCTCTATACTGCAAGAGCTTGTGTTTTTCCTCAGTCTGGTCTGCATCAGCGACTTGAATGCAGGGCATTAAACCGTGCTGCCAAAGGCTTGGGACTGAACCCTCCATAGACATCCATAGACCTTGTAACTTGGAGACATTTGGACACAATCTTTCTCGAACGAGTAAGACAGAAAGCCAGGAGCAAGGACGCTACGAACGGGCTCCTGGCATCGCGACTCGAACGGAGCATTCTGACATTGGAGACATTTGGGACATTTGGTCAAGGAAAACGACTTCCCCTCCGAAAGGTCCCAGGTATTCGACACCTCAGGCACTTCTGAAGCCGTCCTGGTTTCCTTCAGTGAGTTCGGAGGGTCGGAGCTCAAAAAGCGCAGGAACCACAGCCGTGCTTGGTGCGTCTCGTATTCTCGGTGGTGATCTCCGACTCAGACTTGGGACTTCTGCGAAATGTTGCCAAAAAAAATACAAGAAACTATGTTGCTAGGTTTTGCTTAGGGTGATGTGGTACTTTCCCTATTGGGCAAATCCCCTTCTACGAAATCGGAATATGGTTTGTCCTTAAGCCATCCAAGGTAGAAGAAGACCCCAAGGGGTGGTCTTTGGACCCTTGGGGTTCTTAGACACCTCTTACCGGCGCCCCGTAGGGTCCCCTGGTGATCTACAAACTCACCCCAGAACCATCGGGTTTTGTATACAGTGGTTCCGCGTGGCAGCCATGATGGAGCTGCGTTCATCCTTCCAAATGGTCCTCTTCATGGGGTCCATGATGAATGTATGTTCTAACTTTCCGTGGATGGTCTGGGGACGGGGCTGAAGATCCATCGAGCTTGGCTCGCTTGGCGAAACGCGGTCGCTGCAGGTGAAACCCTTCGTCGCTTGCTACGCCGAGCAAAGCCGCAGTCCCGGGCGGTGGAGGGCTTGCTGATTTGCAGCCTGGTGTTAGGCGCCTCGGCACTTCTCGCAAGGCACTTCCGCACCGGAACAAAAGAGGACATGCGACAAGTTCTTTTTGGGACCAAGTAATGATGGGACCACCCCAGCTCCAGATTGACTATATGGAGTACGGAGGAAGGCTTTGCTTGAGGGTCAAGATTGTTACTACAAGTGGGGCAAGCTGATAGCCGATTTGTTCCAAGTGTGGCTCAGGTGTCTTGGGATGGCCAAAGACCAGTTGGTCTTGGCAAACTTGTTTAAAACCGGTCGACATACCCTACTTGAAACGTCTCCATTAATGAAACACCGCAAATGGCCAATGCGAACTTCACAGGCTTTCTTTATACCTACTGAGACCTACAGACCGTTCCTCGTTTTGGAGGATGGACTCGCTTAGTCCCGTGATCCTTTTTCCTCTAAATCCTTTGCTGCACGTCGTTCGCTTCGCCCGGTCCAGCCGCCTCTTCCGCCGGTCACGGACGGTCCTCCTTGGTTCGCCCGAGGGACCGAGGTTCTCGCAGTGAAGCAACATGAGGGACCGTTTGGTCTGTTTTGATCATACACAGAATGATGGCTACTCCCGTAAATAACTAGTCCAGAGTGCCACCCACATGGTCCTTACTCAAGGGAGCCATACAGAATGTAAGGATTGACAAACTAATATCTGAGGGATGAACAGTACAGAGAACAAGCCCGTCACTGGGGAGAACATGCTACGGGGGTTGGTCCATCATCCTGTTTTGAATTCAGCCGGGGATCGACATGAGGAGGCAACACAAGCTCAAGCGAACGCTATTTATAAAGCTATATATTTGTTTCATGTAGCGAATCATCATCAGTCACAATAATATGTTCCCTTTGATCCATACCAAAAACTTTGCCATAAACGATGATACACGAATTGACTATCATACTATATGTCGTCATTTGTCATATTGAATATTGTATATACAAATACATAATACATCATAATACATAAAGCATCATAAAGCAAACATGTTGAGATCATGCCATGCACATTTTGTATCATATGATTTCAGTTTATATCACATATAAGCACATCAAACTGTTGCATCAGACACTGTACACCTACTGCCTGCCCTTCCCATTCAACGCACTCCCAAGGATGGTACAGCTCCTCGGCTGGCAAGGGAACCTGAAACCTGCCAAGTCACCACCTGCCACGTTTTAAGTCTCCAAAAGCCTCTTGAAGAGACCTGTTGGAAGAGACCTGTTGGTACCAAGAGTTCCGTGTCAGGAAGGTTCTTGCTGGAATCCGGTCCGCTGAGGGCCTCACCTGCTCGAACGAAATGGACTGATTTTGGGAATGCTTCTTCACTGGTGCTTTACCAACACACTGGTTTCTACTATCTACCTTGCCTTACATGAAAGTTCAACAGGGCTGATTTTATTCAACAGGGCTCATTTTATTTTGTTCATATCTGTTCATCCTTTCCTTCTCACCGAAAACATCTCGCGCGACCAGTTTGTGCTGGCGCAAAAGATCACCGGGAGCCAATGTAGAGGGGAGCGGATCACCGTCCATAGATGGCCTTTTACGCCCTTGGTTGAGACACCCCCAGGTGAACAAGCAATAGATAGCTGGACCTTCGAAACGGTCCAAACATAGAGTTGCCTTTTTACAAAGGAATTTATCCGGCAAAAGATTGTGCCACTTGAAGCCAGGTATGATAACTTGCATCGACCCCTCTAGTTTTCACGAAGGGACATGATTGCTGTCCATCACATCCGACCAATATATCGGATTGCAAACCACATCCCCCGAAAAGCTTGCACTACCACATCCCCCGAAAAACTGTCACATCCGAAGTTCCACATAAAGCACTGGAGCACTGCGCAGAAAAAGCCATAACCTACCCAGGAAGTAGTGGAGATCAGCGATTGCAAGCTTTCCGGGGGTGGAGGAATTGGGGAGTCTACCGCTCCAGGGGAGTTTACCAGTCGACCCACATCAAATCCAGGTGTACTTCGGAATCGCTTCACCGTGGGATTTCCATCAGGCGTTCGACCGGCGACCAACCAGGCGTTTCCATTACACTGGTGCTGCTGAACAAATGGGTCATGACCTCCTGGAAAGGCGCTCCATGTGGGGGCGGTGGATGTGGGTCAGGTCACGGAGCCCAGGTCCAGTGGGTTGACCTCCCAGTGGTCTCTTTGGTTCTTCCTTGTCGGTCCCCGGGTTTGGAACCTATAGCCAGCTATGAGGCTATGAGTGTGTGCGTGTGCCAAAGATGATTACATTTCGGAACATGCAAGTGCTTGGGCATTTGTTCAACAGAAATTGAGAACAGTCCTATATAATATAGTAACTGAGACTCAGACACACCCCTTAAAAGTATAGACCTCCTCCCGTACGTCAAATACACTTGATCAGCTGGTTCACAATGTGTATTTGCATTGCCCCTTGAGCCTAGTAGAGTTTGTTATATAATTCCTGATTCGCAACCTGTGCTGATCATTGGCCTTCTGGTGGGTGTAATGCCTCGAAATTCCTCAAACAAATGATAGGCTGGCAGACTACTTGGGTTCCTGCGCAGTTAGTGGATAACCGTTAACCTGTTTTGGAGATTGTTTCCCAGTCAAATCCAAGAGGTAGAACGTTGGGGGAAACTAAGGGCGTCAGGATTGATGTTTGGCTTGATGAATCTTTGTTTCTCACTTGCCCTGGGTCCAACTTGCGCAGCAGCTTTGTTGAGCATTACCATTTTGAGGATTTAGGCCTATTTTGGCAACTTATTAGTAATGAATCATCATCATCATCATCATCATCATCATCATCATCATCATCATCAT